TTATGGTGTTTTTGTAATTTTAATTTATTTTAGGGTTATAATAATATTTAAATTTAAATTTTTTAAGATTTCAATACCAAAACGACGTCGTTTTGAGAACAAATGCAGATAAGTTATCTACAATAACTGCATAAATATTTTTTTCAAATAAAAATGTAGGGTATATTTATAATTTTTTTATAACTTCTTATAATTAAATTTTATATCACTAAATTAAAATTTAATCAACAATTTTCTCACTTAATGGCATTTTATAATTATTAATTTAATTTTAATTAAATGAACAAATAATTAAAAAATATTATAAAAAAAGTAAAATTGTTAATATAACTCCTTGTTTTTTTTTTGTAGTTAATATAACTCCTTGTTAAATAGTAGGGGTGTTAACGGGCCGAGCCGAGCTTTGATCTTAAAAGGCTAAGCCTGTATTTAAATGTGTCAGTCTGACCAAGCCTGTTACCTGTTATAAATATAATTATCAGCCTGTGGCCTGACTTATTTACAAAAGATAAAAGCCTGGTTTAACTTGTTAGCTTTTTAAAAAAATATAAGACAACAAAAATTTATCCAAACAGAATATGTAATCAACAACAATTGTAATTCCATAAATGTTTATAAAATCAATGTATATCCAAACAGCATAATATAAAATAAAATCATTCAAAAAATCTGTTTAACCAATGAAATGGGGTGAAATGGATTGAGGAGAAAGAGAGGGCTATTACAAGTAGTATAAAAAATATAAAATAAAAATAAAAATAATATACAAGGCCAGCCAGAAAGGCTCTATGGCTCAGCTTTTGAATTGGAGCCTGAGGCCTTTTTATTAAACGAGCTTTTATTCAAGTTCAATCCTGGTGCCAACAACTAATTTTAGACATGTAAGCAGTCTTCACGAGCCGAGCCAAAGGCCCTTGGTTCGTTTAGCACCCCTATTAAATAGTATAGAGAGTAAGGTAAATTTTCAAATGGAACACATAAATTATTATTTATTTATTTTTTGAAATCAACCCTAATTACTTCTCTGATGGAATTAGATCTTTCTGATATTCACACATAAGCTTCGACTTTTTGAGTTGACTATAGGAGTAATCCGGGGGCGAGTTGAAGATATTTAAACCATTCTCAAAGATGTCATGCGAGAATCGAAACAAGACTCTTGCCTTTTCACTTATTTAGTTCCTTTGCTACCAATTTAGCTACCACCATTTTGTCATAAAAAAAATGAGAACTTCGATCTCGTTTGATTGTCGAAGAACTTATCAGTAACAATGACTCATATCTTTTAGCTGTTACAAATTTCTGCTAATTCTTCACGATTCTCGTCAAAAAAATTCGTTTAATTTGTTGCCGAGAAAATTCAAGAAAAAGGAAATTCTTTGTTTCTCCTCCCGTTTCTTTTTTTGAATAAGTGTCTGAAATTGATCTAGTGAATCCGGATTAATCCAGAAATCTCTCCCCCTATGTTGCATTGCACAAAGGTCATCCATATTTTATATCAAAAAGTAGGATGACCATTATTCTTCATTCAGTTTGGATCACGAGGATTCACTGATAAATAAATAAATAAAAACTTTCCGCTTGGGTACCAAGAGGAACACAATTTAAAATTTGTAACAACAAATTACCAGTGTTCATCATTGCAAATTTATTTTTTTTGAGGATTATTTTGTAAAAAATAAAAATAAAAATAAAATGAGAGATAAATACTTGACATGTCATCATCATTATTCCATGTGGTTATTTTTTATTGGTCCATACCTGCATGCCAGCATCTCTAAAAAGTTTCATAATATTTACCTTCAATTTCAAGTTATTTTTTTAATTAAGTATAACCGTTTTTCATTATTTATGTTTTATTAAAATTGAAATTCATCTTATTCTCTAACTACTACTCTCTATATGTTTCTTTTATCTCTCTATTTATTCTATCCTTATCATTGTTTTAATTCTTTAAATAGTTTGAAATTTTTATTTGTTTTATACACAAACACCTGTGTTCTTTCGTTTTATGGTGATTTTGCTATCTTCAAAATAAAGTAACATTAAAGTTATTGCTTAAGTTTTTTATGTATAATTTTTAATTTTTGTCATCTTTTACATTAGTGGTTGGGAGTATGAAAACTTCGTCTTTGATAATATGATGTGATTCAATCCAGGTCGTGAAAAAGACAGTTATTGTGTTTCCAAAAAAAGAAGAAGACAGATTTTGTAACTATTTTAGAGCCTGTTTGTTTGGGCTTTTCAAAAAAATAAATTTTATCTCTTTTTTATTTTAGAAGTATTTTTTATTAAAGTTAAAACTATTTATATATTTATAAAAATATTTAGTTTTTAAAAAAAATATTTGGCTTTTGATTTTTGTTTTTTTAGAAGTTAAAATTTTTAGCTTATGAAAAAAAGTAGATTTTTGACTTTTTTGTTACTTCTGTTTTTTTTTAAACAGACATCCAAACGAACTAAAAACGAAAAATATTTTTTTATTGAAAAAAAGCAACTTTAGAAAAAAAAAAGCTCATCCAAACGGGCCGTTAATTCTTTCTCCTGTGGATACCTAGTATTCAACGAGAAGTTACATGCTAGCCATTCCTACATGAAGATATGATAAATATTAGAGTAAATATCTTTTCGGTCTTCAGCAAATTTTACGATGTCCGCTTTAGTCGCAAATAAAAAGGTTATTTGTGATTCCTAAAAAATTCAAAGTGGATTCATTTTAGTCTTTTTGAGGGACTAATGTGAGTCTTTTTTGAATTTGTGAATGATCACAATTTCAACTAAATGAGTCCATTTTGAATTTTTCATGGACTATGAATAGTCTTTTTATTTACTATGAACTAAAGCGAATATCATAAAATTTATCGAGGATAAAAAAGATATTTACTCTAAATTTGTATCACCATAACTACGCTTAAAGTTGTAGTTTATGTGGCTTTGTCCACCTAGAAAAAGACATCTAACTGTTTACATGTAAGTAGATGTGGGGAATCCCAACCCCACCAATTATTCTTCTAACATGATTCTTCTGCAACCATTGAAAATGACATAGTGGTGATTATTATCACTAAAAGATGGTGTTAAAAAATAGTGGTGATTTATGAGCCAATCTTCTTGCTCGGAGTTGTGCAGTTGGAGACTAGCGAATGTGAGTTAAGTGGGCGAGAAAGGAAAATGGGTATAAAAGCAAAAGTATCTAATCTTAGACTTGTTAAAAAAGAATTAGAGTTTTCATATATATAAGTCATTGAGATTGGTTTAATGATGAGTGATTTGAATAGTTTATTTTAAGTTGTGTGTTCAATTTCCACTATTGTATAAAAATAAAAAATAAAAAGAGTTTTCATATATGTAAGTTGTTGGATGGGCTTCTAAAGATTTCAGCTCAAAATTGTATAAACAACACTGAGCCATTCATAAAGGGCCTCTCAAGTTTTTCTTACTCTTTTTTTTGAGTTTAATATTTTTTATGTTGTACAAGATAAATTTATCTCTTGTACACACATAAAAGTATGTGGAGTTCATGTGAGTCTATGTGAAGGGAAGAGAGGGAAAGAAAAAATATGAGACCCAAATATTTTTATGTGTGTGTAAGAAGAGATAAATTTATTTCCTACAACATGAGAAACATTAATCCCTTTATTTTTAAGAGAAATGTCAAAAGGAAAAGAAAATAAAGGTGTATTGCGCAGCAAAAACCATTGGCCACAACTCATGATTCTCTAGTTTATATAAAATCGAAGTTAAAGTAATTCTACATTTAAAGAAAGAAAAAAAACCTGGTGCACAAAACTAGTGACATGTGATCATTAGTCTCGTGTCGTCATACAAAGTTTATGGTTTTTGTTATTTTCTCAATACGATGGATTGAATCTTGATTCCAATGTTAACTGAAGCTTAGTATTCAGGTAATTAAGGTCTTAGTGATTCGATACCTATTTAATGAAGAAATAAATAAATAAAAAATCTAGGTAAGAGATTAATTAAATACATTTATCAATTTCACGGATCAATGAGTCACATCAAAACTCCTGTTTAGTTTCCATTCACCAATTAATAATAATCCTATGCTAACCGCGACTGTTGCTCTGGTGTATTCTTAATTTCTATATTATACATGCTATCAATTTACTTGAAACATTGTCCATTCTTAACAACGGCAATTGTTTCCAAGTTTCAGTAATTTCACCATCTATGGTTGATTGTTTTCTTCTTCATTCAAAACAATTAAATGCCACATCAACCCATGAGATCAGTGTAGCTTGAAATTCATGGGATTTTGATTGAGAGATAAGTAGTGAGATTTATCACCATTTTTTTTTTTTAGAGTCTCCGATAATCTCATATGTTTTTTATAAATTAATCCGAGTTCGAAACGACTACAGGATTAAAGTTTTAAATTTTTTCAAAACATAGTACTAAAAAATATCAAACAAATATTCTTACTCGCACCTGCCTAAGTGAGTGAGATTTAACATCATGTTTGTAGTTGAAGAATAGGTACCCAGAAATTAAATTAACGTCGTTTCTTTAGTTTGAGTATCTTTCCTCCATTGAATAAGTTCATTAACCCTGTTTTGTTAGGTACCAACCTACCCGTCACATCCTTTTTAATGGTGAACATTTATGATGTGCCAATTGAAGTGATTTTGATTGAGAGATAAGTAGTGACATTTATTATCATGTTTAAGTATAAATTGTGAGATTGTTTTAGTTTTAACATACCCTTTAATAACTCAGAAACTTATCCAAAGAAATTACAATGTTTTTGAAATATTTTAAGATAATATATATGAAGATTCAATTATTCCATCATCCTAAATATTTCAGAGAAATATGTTGTTGCAAACTCTTTATCAAACTCAATTTAGATTTTACAAGCGTTGTTTACTTTTACATACTTAAGGCAGGCCAACAGATCTACTTTTGGAGCAAACTTATTACAAAGGCAAACTAAACTTAGTACAACTTATAATTTATTTGATGCATGGAAGATCTAAACTTCATTTGTACTTCCTTTCTTTCACCGGTCCCCTTGGAATCTTGTTAAGAACTTTAGAATCCAATGTCTTGAACAATCTCTTCACGTCTTGGTTTCCTTTGCTTGCTAGATAATCCACCTCAGATTCATACCGCTCATACATAATGGGAAGAGTCACCAGGCAGAGAAACACTGTAGAAGAATATATATATATATATATATATAGCAGATCAACAATTAAGAAAAACCTCAATTAGGAAAAATTGATAACTATGCCATGATAAAGTGAATTTGTTTGGGATCTCACTGATATATAGAAGATTTAAAGCGGAGAAAAAATTCCCAATAGTTGACATGACCCAGAGACCGGCGATTGTCTGAAATTCAATCACTTGATGTTAATTAACTAACAAATTAATTAAGAAAATGGTCTGATATATAGGAGAAGTTGGTGTAATTGAAAATAGTTTCACTATACCACAAAGAAGTGTGTAAGGTCTTTCCCAGTTGAAATGTCATAAAATCTCCTCAACAAAAAGTTGAGCTTGTTATAGAAGTATCTAAAGGTGGATTCCGGGATCTCAAAATCATATATATCAGGAAGTCTCCTGCAATGCAACTGATTAATATTTACTCCACAGATTATAAAAGAAAGCTTTTAAAATATGGGAAGGATCCGTTTATAAACTTTTTTTACAAATTTTTGCAAATTACAGTATGTACTCCCAGGAGAACATAGTGTAATCTAGTATTCTCTTGAGAGTACATGGTGTAGTTTGTAAGAATTTGTAAACAAAAAGTTTATAAATATAACCATCTCCTTTAAAATAAGGAGTGCACAATTAATTTATACAAGTTTAAAGTTACATTACCAAGTGATTAGTCCTGCTGCATTATACCAAACAAAGAGGATGAGCATGAGGGCCATGAGAATGTGACAGAGTAGAGTAACAAAATTATATTCAACCACTTCGAAGAGAAACCAAACGATGGAGAAACCAGCTACAATTCCTCCCGATAACATCTTGTCTTTCCATAGCAATATATCGGCAACTGCAAAATCAGATAAATCATATCACAAAAAAGAACAACTTTAGAAGAAAAAAAAGGTTGTTTTCGCTTTTGGTCATTGGAATATGAACAAAAATGCACCAAATGTTTTGGATAAAACTTAAAAAGCTATAGGAGAGAAGCCTTCTACAAAACATGCTACGAAACGGTTTGAAGTTATAATTCTAACCTTGGCATCTCCCCAATTATGAACTTTTTTTTTTTTGGACTTAACGTATGTAATGATGAAGATTTTTTGGGGTAAAAATTGAGGATGAATTTGATGCATGATCAATCCTATTATGAGTATTTAGAAATTTAAGGGAGGAATATTTGAGTACGTGACATTAAATTATAAGATCCTCTATATATTTAACATGACAATTAGAATTTAGAAACATGAAGGCTTATTAATTAATGCAAAAAATGGTGAACTTGTAAATTATCTTACGCTTTCCTTCGCCAAGGAGTGCGTGAAGTGGTCTTTGACGGCCAAACAAACCTGGCCTCTGTGCAGGTTCATGGGAACGGGTTGGCATGGCTACAAATTGAATGATTGAATTGAAATTGTCTTTGTAGTGTTTGTTGATTCCCCTGAACCAAGTTCCTAGCACTGTTTGTGATTCATGCGCCGTGAGGCCTATCTATATGCAATGTACAGAAGATTTTATGGTTCTAAGCTTTGTGACCAAGAAATTAATTATCTCGTTGCATGGACGAAAGGTATGGCTTTGGCATGGCCTTCAAGTTTTATTTCCTCGTGCCCACACATGATTAATTAAGATACCTTGTTAGTGTCTCCCGTTTACCCTCACCTATCCCGAATAGTGTTTTCTTGTATTTAAGGGGTACTCTACATTCTTTGTTTTATACTTCCATATTGAACTATTATATATGTCTCACTATCATTCAACTCGGTCACAAAACAAGTGACCGGGGAGAATTCATATAAAAAAATTGGATATACTTTATTTAAATTGCTCCATGATGAATTGTCACGATGTTCCATGTAATAATGGGATTGAATTGTAATTTAGGATATAATTATGAGATGTTATAATTGTGGATTTGAATTAGGCTAAAAAAAAAAATACGTAGAAAATATCATATAATATTAAGATTATATATTAAAAATAAGTTAGAGTTTTTATATGATCCCTTAATTTTATTATATTTCATGATTTATTCTTCTATTTTATAATACCTATTTAATATAAATTAAAATTAATACTTTACCTTTTTCATTAGAAAAATATTAATAATTTAACTTTTGTATCACATAGCCATTATAGAATATTGTTTAGTTTTAAGAAAAAAATTCAATCTTAAGAGGAGCCCATCACAGGTAAATTATTATCAATGAGCCAAGTAATAATTTATCACAATAAGTAAATTTCACACTATATCTAAATTGAAAAATTAGGTGGTTAAGTTTGGAGTATCTCATATGATAATGAAAGATTTATTTATGTGCATGTTATTAATCATAAAGAAAAACAGGTCAAACATATGGTCTGGCTTTTTTTTTTCTTAAAATTATTTTTTAGAACGGTTATAAAAATATGTGTTTTATGTATTTTTTTTATTTTAAAAGTTAAAAGTCAAAATATAAAATAAAAATAATTCGAACATATTCTTTAAATTTGATTTTAAAAAAATACAGTTATAATATTAATTTTTTTTTTTACATAACAAATTTTATCAAACGAATTTTTTTTCTTGAAAATAAAAAACTCATTTTTAAAAATAGTATTCAAAAAACTCATTTTTAAAAATAGTATTCAAATAGAATTTATTCTCAAATTTTCACTTTTTTGCTTTTGTCCTTTATTCTTGGACAAAACAGTGAACGTAAATCATAAAGAAACACAAATTTTGACTATCCATCATGTTGGACAGTTCACATCGCCGAAAGTCATTCGGCCTTCAGCGTGACATGCTACAGAATGTTTCGTGAAAAGTTTAAAAAGTAATGCAACGTAAGAAATTATTCCCAACAAAAACTAGACATTTATTAACGTGGTTGATTTTGAAAAACGCTACTTTTTAGAGTCTCAAATTTTTTTTTTTTTTTTTGGGTACATTGTCAGGAGGTATCTCCATTCAACCTTCTCCGGGCACCATACCCTCAGAGTACGGCCCGTTTGGGAGTCTCAAAATTCTTTATCAAAATCAAATGTAACTCAATCATTATTAGTTAGGAAAAACATTATATATAAGGATGAATTGTATATATAAGTAAAATTGATATTCGTAGTGACGGGAAAAAAGGAAAAAAGAAAAAATGCGTGGACAGATTTGACACTAAATAATAATTGTATATATCAAATTGACTTTTAAGATATTGACTAGAGCAAGGAGAAAGTTTGAACCCACGTCTCATGCCTTACCTTTGATTAGGAGTCAGGCTATCATAGTGTTTGTTTGGTGGCTTAAATCATGTTGTTTGCTTTCTGTGGTATTAGGTGCCTCCTAATTTCTTAGTTAATTTGATGTTTATTGATTTATCTTAAAAAAATCTACATTTCATATAAAACAATTATAGTCCAAGACAACCAAAATATCACAAACATGCACTTATTTTTAAACTTTTAATAAAACCCTTATTTTCTTGTAAAATTTTAAGTCGCTGCATGTACTAAAAAACCTTGTGACTTTTAAAAAATAATAATGTTTCTAAAATTAGACTCTCATTGTTAATGATTTTATATTGTAATTCCCTTAACACTTATCCGTTACTTAATGCCTAAACTAAACACACGTGAACTAATGGGATTGAACAAAATTCATTAACATCTCTTTGATCTACGGATAAATAATCCACACAAAATTAAACACCACCCTCCTCCTCCATCCCCAATAATAATAATAAAAAAGAAATGCTTAAAAAATCACACATATTTGTTAATACTTGTTAGTATAGCTAAGTGATTAATTAATTATAAAATATATATTTTTAATTATGACCATCTATAGAGGGGGGAAAGTGCGTTGAATTACGTATTACAAAGTGTGTAATATTTCATCTAAGAAAGCTAGAACATCGAATGGAGTTGGTTTAAATGGTACATACTTGATTCTGCTTAAATCTTGGGATTACCTCCCATGAAGGATACATATGGTTTATTTTAAAAAAAAAAATTAGTAAAACAGTTTATGTTATTAAATTAATATAATAATTTGTTAAATTATTTAAGTGTAATAATAACACAAAAAAATATGACTTTTTTTTTTTGGTACATTGACAGGAGGTATCCTCATTCAATCTTCTCCGGGCATCATATGCCCTCGGGGTACGGCCCGTTTTAGTCCCCTCATTGTAACAGTGGGTGCACTAAGCTTTTGGGCTAGCCCCTCATTGTAACAGTGACAGTGGGGTTTGATCCCTGCACCAAACAATCTCTTGGAAGCTCAGCTGCCAACTGAGCTACGGAGTTATGACTTTTTAATTATATAACTTGTAAGTTATTATCGATACATCTTCCTTTGTAATGAATAATGATGGTGCCAAACCTATAACTATAAGGCTATAACCCCGTAGCATGCATGACCTTATAGCCTTAATGACTCCAATCTATGAGCAATGACTACACAATAAAGCAAAGGGAGTCATCCGCAAATTCATGATGATAAATAGGGGGCGCCAACTTTAGCAGTTAGTAATATAAAACACTTGACCATTGATGGTTGGCTTTTATAGTAGTCACCAACCTTGTCCTAAGGTAAGGCTTTCACTATAAATAGTGATGAAAGCATCCATCCCAGTGTGTCACCAATAATCAATAACCCCTTAATTAAATTATCTATTTTCTCTTTGAAAATGAAGATTTCATATGCAACATTGTGCATTATGGTTACTCTGCTGCTTGTTGCTCAGACAGAGTTGTCAATGGCAGTGACATGTAACGCGTTGCAACTGAGTGCATGTGCCAGCGCCATCACCTCGTCAAACCCTCCCACAAGTGTTTGCTGCACTAAACTGAAGGAACAGAGGCCTTGCCTTTGTCAGTATTTGAAAGATCCTAACCTCAAGAAGCTTGTTAACTCTCCCAATGCCAGGAAGGTTGCTGACACCTGTGGCTCCCCATTCCCCACTTGCTAGACTTTTGATTATTCTTCTTATCTGTTCTTCACTTCCAACCAACCTATAAGGTTAATTTATGGGAGCATCTTATATGTTTTTTCTATGTAATGTACTCTGTTTTGTTTGGCATCAAGTGGGACAGTTCCTCTGTTTGGTGTGGTCGTGCTACAACATTAATTGTGTGGTGCTTGTCAGTTGTTGGAGTATTTGATCTTGTATCAGCTATCTATTAATGAATGTAGTTTTCTGATTATCAACACTCGGGCTTTTACTTGCTTCATTGACCAAATAATCTCTCCTCACTTCTCATGACTTTTTTTCTGTCAGATTAAATTATAATTAAATCCCTTTACGTAACTAGTTATGGGACAATCATTCCCTACCGAGTCGTTCTTCTGTTAAATCTATTTAGTACAGAAAAAAAAAAAAAAGTGCACATAGTTGATATGATTAAAATTTAAAGGAATTGAAACCCCCAAGAAAATATATTTAAATGAATTGAATTTAGAATGCTGTACAACGTATGCATCTGAAAAGGTGAAAGGTGTGTAATCAACTAGTGTTTTTGTATTTGAATTAATGGCCATAGAAATGGGAAAATGAGCAAGGAATTAAGGATGAGTGATTAAGGTCTGTTTGATCGTGTTTAGATTTTTTTCTTCTTCTTAAAACTATTTTGTAGAATAGTTATTAAAACAAGTATTTTTTGTATTTTTTTTGCTTTAAAGGTTAAAAGTCAAAACATAAAGCAAAAATAGGTTAGATATACTCTTTAAATTTGATTCTAAAATCAAAATAAAAAACAGTTACAATTTTTAAATTTTTTTTTTGTAAAACAACCCTTGTCAAACGGACTTTTTTGTTTTTTTTAATTCTGAAAATAAAAAACTATTTTTAAAACCTGAATGTTCTTCTTATTTGCACTCCATCTATGTGCTTGCTAGGGGTGTAAATGAGCTGGACCGAATCAAACTTATGAAAAATATTTTGCGCTTAGCTTGGTCTATTAGCCTGGTACAAGCTGAATTATAAGCTTGACTTAACTTGTTTATGAAAAATTAAATGCTTAACTTGAGTTTGACTTGACTCATTTATAATTATAAAAAGTATTTTTTCAAACTCATATACGTCCAAATGATGAGACTATAAATGCATCAAATTTTGTATTCTTTCGTTAGAGAAAAAACAGTCATAGAACCCACTCAACCCCCATATAATTACATCTTTCATGTTATCTAACCGGAACAAAAAAATAACATTTAATACATTCAATTATTCCATTAGAGATTCGATTCATGAGTTAGTTTGGAACCAATTCAAGATACATTAATGCCGAGACTTCATGATCGAATAATGAGTCCGCAATTTCTTCTTAAACATTGATCCAACTCATGAAATATCAAGCCAGCTCACGGGCTTTCATGCCAAGCCTCGTGAAATTAGGCTTGAGCTTGTTTGCTAAACATGTTTTTTTTTTTTAAGATTGAGTCTGTTCTATTTTTTAAACAGACCAAACCAAACTTAAAGTAAGTCAAACCTTGGGTCCATAACAAGTCGTTTGACCAATTTACACCCTTAGTGGTTGGAGGATAAATTTAAATAAATAAATAAAAACCCAAGAATAATAAATTTGGATCAATTACTTTTATTTAAAATGAATGGGTCCCACATGCTATGTGTCTATAACATGAGATACTAATCTTCTATAACATGATCTCTCGAGTAAGTAAGGTCGAAATATAATTATTATTTTTATAATCAGCCATGCCTTTTTTATTGACAAAAAACAACAAAACAAAGGGTTTATTGCTTCAAATATTATAGGAGATAAATTTATCTCCTATACACATAAAATATATGAGACCCATATTTTTTCGTTTTCTCTTTTCTCCTTATATAGGTCCCACAAGAGATAAAATTTTGTCTCCTACAACATAAAAAATATTAAACTCTAAAATAAAATAATGGTGGTGATAACAATAACAATATGTAATAAAAGGAAAAAAAGTTTCTAATGTTACTTTAGACAACTTTGTCTAATGTTCACTAAAACGACGTCGTTTTGAGATTAAAAAATCAAAAAATTAGAATGAGAAAAACTATTATAACCTTGAAATAAATTAAAATTACAAATACACCATGAATTCCGCCCCAAAACGATATCGTTTCGGTGAACATTAGATAAAGTTATCTAAAGTAACTTTAGAAAAAAAAACCTGTAATAAAATATCATGACTGTAGAAAATTGAAGATCGATTGTCATTGCTGAAAATTTATTCTCTTTCATTTTTCTAGGATTTGTCTAGTTTGAGGTGAAAAGAAAAGGATAAAAAAAAAAAAAGAGACAATGGAATAAAAATTGGAGAAATATTTGTTTGAATATTGTTTTCAAAAACAGTTTTTTAATTTTCTAAATTAAAAAAAAAATTGATAAAACTTATTTTATAAAAATAGTTATAAAAATTACAATTGTTTTTTTATTTTTAGAATTAAATTTAGAAAACATATCTAAGTTATTTTTGTTTAATGTTTTGATTTTTACTTTCAAAACAAAAAAAAAATTCATTAATTATTCTACAAAATAATTTTAAGAACAGAACATAATCAAACAGACCCATAAAATTCAAATTTTATGCCCTTTTTATTTAATAAAGAAATTAAATACTTAAGTGTTAAAAAATACATGTAAAATGTTAAATAGAGCTTTTACAATACCCAACCGAGCAATCTATAAATCTACCCTAATCTAGTCTCATCCCTTCTTTTATTTAATCTCTCTACCATCATTTTAAATAAGGGTGGCAATATGGGTTGAGCCCGGCGGGCCAACCCGCCAACCCGCCAAAACGGGACGGGTTGGGTTGAGATTTTTAACCCACCAACCCACCTCAACCCGCCCCGCCTAGAAGTGGGTCAAAACGGGTTCAACTCGCTGCGGGGCGGGTTGACCCGCCGGGTTTTAAATTTTTTTATTATTTTTTTACAATTAGGTAATATTTCATTAGTACTTAAATTGTTGTGATATTCAAATTTTTTTTTATCTGAGTACTTTCTAGAAAAAATAAAGAATAACAATTTTATTTATGACAAATGTTATATATTTATAAATTCCTAAAGAATGTTTGACAAATATTAGTATACATTTAAGATTGAGACTAAAAAAAATATAGAGAATTGTGAAATAAAATAAAATAATATTAAAAAAATTCATAAAATATAATTTATTTTTGAATTTTAATTAATTTTTTTTTAATTGGCGGGTTGGTGGGTTGACCCGCCAACTCGCCAACCCACCATAAAACAGGGTGGGTTCATCGACAACCCATTTTTTTGGCGGGTCAACCCGCCCCATTTTTTGCGGGTTGGTGGCGGGGCGGGGCGGGTCAACCCAAATTGCCACCCCTAATTTTAAATAGCAAATTGGATGAAGTTCGAGATGTTGATCCACAAAAAACATATTGGATTTAAATATACCAAAATGTCTAGACGTTCAGTTTTTGGCTCCGACAAATCATATTTCATCCCAGCTATTAGATTGGAGACAATTAACGCCAAATTCAAATATCAAAAGAGGGAAGGGGAGTCACACAAAAAGATAATGAACAGTGCGCACAAAAATAGGGATACAAACAAAAGGGCATATATATATATATATTCGCAGAAAGAGACTAGATAATAAGGTATTCTTTTTGTTGAACCTCGAGTAGAAGGGCTTTTACTCAGGTTAAGTTTACTATGCAAGTTTTATATTACAAAAACGCAAGCAACTCAGACACTAAAAGCAAATAGTGGGAGGAGGCCAGATGTTCAAAGAACAAGGTTTAAAACACTAAAACTAGAAATTGGTAGGGAACATACTGAACAAACCACCAGCACCATACTACTACCATCTATCTATATCGTTTGCAGCATTCTCCTCCCATAGCATAAATATTATATATATTCTCCCATTAATACATGAACAAGGTTTTGAAAACATTGTTCATCTTCCTTAACCCCCCACATCCCTTATCCAACCAAAAAAAGAAACCACCAAAATTGTGTAAATTAGCCCGGTCTGTTCAAACCAATGAATTTTCAGGCCTTGTCAGACTCAGCACCTTGTTGGTGGTGGTGGTGTGTGGCCAATCCGAGACCTTCATTGCGGTGCTTCTCCCAGAAGCCAGTGTCAGCTCTAGAATGTGCCCAATAGTACAAAATGGAGACCAACATGGAAAACAGAGTCAAGGCAGCCCCAGCAGCAAATACACCTTTGCGGAGGGTGGCACAAGACAAGTCATCCGCCCCAAAATACCCTCGGTACTTGGTGTGGTATGCGTTCCTCGCAGACCCTGCTACCAAGCATACCTCTGCTCCCAAAAAACTAACCCTGATTTCACAGTAATAATAATCAATAATAAAATTCAAATTCCTTCACCCCTTTTTATCCAATATAACAACTATTTCAATTCAATTTTTCATCTTTAACTGCAGAGTCCATAATCAATTCATTACTAATCTATGGCTCAAAAAAGTGCTTTTTCAACTACTAGGAACTTTCTTTCCCCCTAATTTAAACAAAATAATAATGAATAAAAGACAAATTAATAGGGTTTTAAAGCTGAAATTACATGATGTGATAATTGGAAAAAGAAGAGTGAAGCGTTACCATGAGAGAATGAAGAAGATGACGGCGCAAGTGGTGGACCAACCGGAGACAAGGCCTTTGCCGCAGCAAAGGCATCTGGTGACGGCGTTAAGGACGGCGTGGCTGAGGAGCAAGAGGGCGAAGGCGGCTAAGCCGTAAACGGTGGAGGCATCGGTGGTGTAAACGCAGAAAGTTCGGTCGTCGTACTCATCGGGGACCACTTTGGCCTGAAAAAGAAAAGGAAACAGATTTAAGAGCTCAATTGAAGAAAAGAAGAAGAGAGAGAAAGAAAGAGAGGGTTACCGCACTACGACGTCGTTCGGCGCCAACGGCGAAGACGAAAGCTATGAGATGCAGAGAGATGATGAGGACTAAAATAGTTACAGAAACTGCCATGATTTCAATATTCAATTTCGATTCCCTCTTCTTTCTTCCTCACTCACTTCACTCCCTTTTTTCTGCTCTCCTTAATTTATCTTCATATCTTTAGCTTCGTCCTTTCATTATAATACTACCCCCCTTCTCTTCCTTTCCTTCTTTTTATTTTATTTTATTTTTTCTACTTCCAAACCCCACCTTTTCCCCGTATTAGCTTTCCCTTTTTTATTCTTCACTTGTTACTCATCCATTTCATGCTTCGCTTCATGTGAATAATATTTATCTTATTTTCATCATTAACTTTACAAATGTTAAAAATAAGGAATAGAATAAAATAAAATAAAATAACCCAATAAAAATATACCAAACGAGAAATTAAAAAATGTTTTCTTTAGGCAGCAGTCAGCACCTGCCCTAGAGTCGAATTAGGGATTCGCGTTTGTGGACGCCAGTGCAAAAATTTGTTTTGCTCTCTGAGGTATTTGTATTGTATAAAAAGAAATGATGGGATCGGATACAGTGGGTGGAAGTGCACGGAAGATATATGAGTTTGACTATAATGCAGCGTAGACTCGCATCAAAACGACATATCATTTAATGATTTGGTGGCTGACAGAGTGGAGTTGTGACCAAAACGATGGTGCTGGGACCACAAGTGATTTGTGGTGGGACCCATTTACTTACTACGATCGTTAATCAGTCGAAACAAATAGCTGGAACTCGGGTTGTCTTTTCGTAGCACCGCTATCCTGCTCCCTCCTTCACTTGCTAGATTGAAGGTTACCCCGTTTTTGCAAGATTTTTTTTTTTTCAACCATGCAATGAAGGAAAAGATAACAAAATTAGTAGGCAAGCAATTATAATTAAACGTAAAAAAAATTACATAAAGTTTAATAAATGAATCTTATCCAAGTCAAAACATATAAAATTCTAATTATATTTCCTTATCAGTTCCCATAATGGAAAAACTTGTACCTCTTTTTACCATATCCCATAGGAGACAGTTGTGAAGCATTGAAAAAGAGTTCGTGTAAAAAAAAATTCGAAGTAATTTGAAAGCAATCATAAACTCAAATTCACTATCTTCGTTATCAAAATTTATCATAGACCCTGTAGCCAGCCGCCAGCGGAATGAGAATAGATGTTTTCATACGTAAAATTCACCCGGCGTCCGTCTCTCTTCATAAAAAATAATTCAACCTCTTTATATTTGTCCACAACCGCGCCATATTGTTCAACTGTCAGAAATACCAAGTGATCGGAACATACCCTATGACCTTGGCCAGGTCTTTCTTATGTTGCAAAATAAAATAAAAAAAGCTAAATCTGAAATAATGATGCCGCGGTATATCATAACCCGGGCTAGAATTTCAGAAAAATATGAAATTCAAGAGTAAGTCAATCAAAAATAAAGATTCAGTAATAATGCTGAAAATTAAAGGAAAAAAGAAAAAAAAATGAGAAACAATCCTAGCGATATTTAGTACAATACGAAAAGGGACTCAAAGACCCCAAACAAATCAAGTTTATTGCATATTAAAGCCGGCATATCAGCCAGGGTTACCATTAGATCCATTGTTCAAAACAACTCTTACACCTTTGACGAGAGCTTTTCAAAGGTTTATGTATGCCGAACCATTGGAATGAAATGAGAAGGAGCGAGACGTGGCTTAATAGTTGAACTTAAAATTCGGAGAAACAAAACCGAATACCAACTTTAGTTATTAAATCACGGTAGAAGAAAAAGAAAGGAGTCTCCTCCGAATTTCTCCAGGAACAAACAGGTTTGTCTTCGGCAGAAGGAAAATATTAAACCCAACCGGATTACCAACCGGAAGCCCAACTATATCCTCGACGCTCAAGTCGGATCTAATGCTCAAAACTTCTTTAGTAACACATGCATAGCTAGCTATTAACTCGGCATTGGGGGATGGATGCCTTGAGTCAACAGGGGCAACTTCAACTTCCAATTTTGCAAAAGGCGACTCCATGAAAACCTAGAACATAAAAGCTTGAAGATAAAAAAACAAGGGATAACATACCTGAATTAAAGAAATCATCATCGGATGAGCTAGACATATCATCCGAGAAATCAACATGGGGGCTTCTCCTATCAAAGATAGAACCTCGTTCCTGATTGCCCCCTTGATGTGGACAACTATCTAGAACGAGGTCGGTCATGGAATCATGGCCTTGTTCGATGAATTTAGAACTCAAATACACGTAGTAAAAGTAAGGCTCTGAGTTCGGATTTGCAGGGTTTGTGTTTACAACAGGTAGAGAAGTGTTAAACCCTGCTGATGGATGCTTAATAAGACGGGAGGTTTCAGGTCGACTGGATATTGAAATAGGGTTCACAAGTAGAGAACCAGATGATAGTTCGACCGTCTTTGACGAAGAACTCTTAAACATTGTTCTAATGTCCTGACCTGCCACTTCAGAACTATGGTCTCTACCTCGGCCTTGACCCAATTTGACAGGGGTAGAGGTATGGACTTCATCTTACCCCCTCCACTTTGAGACTCCCTCAACGTTGCAACCTGCTTATCTTCTTCCGTCCTAGGAATACCAAAGAACCAATATTATGGACCTGGGAGAGGCTCTGGATAAACCTTTCTTTTTCCTCATCAATTTCATCACTTCGACAAAAACCGCGAGGGAAGGTTGGTTTACCCCTACCACTAGGACTTCATTCACTCATAATAAAATGGTTTTGGAAGGTGGAATTAGAAGGGGATTAAATCAGTTTGTATTTCATAGCCCTTCACACCCAGGAAATAAAATACGAGTACAAAGCATACGCAAGGCCCAAATATTAATATCCATGGTCGAAGCACAACCAAAAGCCATAAATCAACATTCAAAAACTCTATCATTAAGGCTCGAAATTCAGAAACGGTATCAGAGCATGCAAATCTCTACATGAACTAAAATTGCAAGAAATAAAGCTAATGTGCCATGATACAAGAAATACCTAATGAAAAAGATGAAGTCCTCAGGGTGAAGAGACGTGCGAAGGAGACGAAGATATGAAGAACTCTAAAATGCAGAAAACACCAGCAAAATGAAGAAAATAAAGTGCGAAGCAAGATAAAGAAAAGAAAACAATTGAAACCCGTGAAATGAAAAGGCAGGCTTAAAATTGTAATATCATACTAAGACAAGATGATTGAGAGATGTTCTGATAGCTTACATTTAATGCAAATAAGGGACGACAGCTTACAACACACGTCACGCCACTTAAAAAATGCCACATGGAAATAAGTAACCATGATGTGGAAGAGATAAGAATGCCTAAGGTAAGTTCGAGTCAACAAGCTGAGATAATGGAATATAGCATTGCAATAGGAAGCCGGAATACATTCAACCTATTGGATATAACTCGAACAAGCACGAAATTGAATGAGAAGGCTCAACCTAATGCCGGGGTAACTTGGTTATTTGAGTTATTAGGTTGGGGGCAGTAAATATAGCCGTTTATAAATGTGACGAGATCAAATTATAAATTGAAGTATAGCAAACTTGAAACAGGATTAAAAACTGGACTTTGAAATATTACGTCCCTATATGTAATCCAAGTTATGCAAGCAAATCACCCCGGCTAATATGATCCGGAAAAACATTATGCACCCCAATAGCTCTGAAACCCAAGCTATTGGGCTAGATGCAACTGTTATGGACCTATGTAAGGTCCATGTATCTAAAAGCTTGGTAAAGGGTAATCGCATGACATCTAAGTAATGGTACAATTGGGCTTGTGGACCACAAGGCCCAATACTCCTACATTCATAGGTAAACTCTACAAATATGAGGTAAAACTTACAGGTATGATATAATTTCTCTCTAACTAATATAATGTCACTGTGAGCACACACACCACCCTATTGGTTGACGCCATTATAATTGTGTACAGTGATCTACTACCTCAAACTATCTAATTTATAGATACTAAGAGAAAATATTTGATCCTATATTAATCTACTAGTTTTTGGCTAGACATCTCTATCACCTAAACAAAAGAGAGGGTTGAGTTTTGCCAAGTCGCATACCCCTAAGGCCCTAACCCTATTTATCTAAATTCACAATATATGTCAATAGTTACGTTTATACATACATATGTATATAGTATGTGATATATGTTTAAATTTATTTTAATACATATGTATTATGTATATCTAAATTTATATTTATTTAGACTGCTATGTTATGTGAGAGATATTTAATTTGAAGTCAAATGTGTATGTGTAATAAATTTGCAGAAATTAAGAGTGGTCCTCTCATGTCTTTGAGAAGATGGAGTATAGAAAATTGCCGGAACTGTGAAAGCCAATTAATGTCAAAATAATAAAAATAAGAAACAAAATATTCTTTTGTATTCTTAATTGCAATCTCTAAAAGATCAATCGCAGTTAATGCTAATTCGCTTATAAAGAACAGGCAAAATATCGCTGAGAGATATTATTTTCATGGAGTGATTATACCATTTTAGACTTATTACTATATGTTCGGTTATTGTTATATTAATTCAAAATCAACAGTCGTTAATTATTTTTTCTTTTTTAACTTTGATTTCAAATTAATCCACCAATAACCAAACAAATAATAAGAATAATAATCTAAAATTGTGATAATTATACCTTTTCCTATTTTCATATATCGTTACATAGCCTTAGAATTAAGGGTGAAACTGGGTCGGGTCGGCCTACAGGGGCCTACGGCTCGGCCTACATCAGGCTAAACCTAACTTAGTATATTTTGTATAATAGGCCAGGCTCGGGCCTTAAAAAAGCCTGTTTAATAAAAAGGTCGTAGGTTCACTTTCAAAAGGTCGAGCCTCTAAGCCTACAGGCCGGCCTATATTGTACTATTTATTTTAAATAAAATAAAATAGAGTAAGTATGTCTTGAAGAAAAAAAAAGATATAAATTTAATCAATTGCAATTATTTATAACTTAATTATATTCGATTATATTTTAATAGAAATCTTATTTTATTTCTTATATAGGAGAAACCAACATCTCAACATGTTAGATTGTGTATATGAATATATTAAAAGATTTTTGGGAGAGGTTATACTTACTACAAGCATCATGATATGTTTGTTGGATTCATGTAGTTATTTTAATTTACATAGTATGGATTTGTTTATCTGATGAAATATATGTTATTTCGTTTGAGCATTTTTCTTTTGAAAATGACTTAAATGCATATTGTATTAGTTTTGTTACGATTCATGATTCTGTTTGGACGTTGAAATTATGATTTTTGGTGTAGCAACAGAATTTGAGTACTTTGTAAAGTTGATTCATGGTTATGCTTGGAAGTTAATAATTAACAGGCTAACGGGCCAAGTCAGGCCATTTGTTTTTTTTATAAACGGACCAAACTAGGCTAACAGTTAGACTCATACTAGGCTTGGGCCAGGCTAAATTGAAATTTTTTGACATAGGCTTGAACTTTTCGAGACAAAGTTTGGCCCAGCCCAGCCCACTTTCACCCCTACTTAGAATCCACAAACACAGTTTCTTTTCAATAATCTACGAGCGGTGACGTTTCATTGTTTTTTGAGATTGAGACATGCAACGTGCCTTCTTGTGATTGTTTTTCCGATCATGGATCTAGATTTCCTTTTTCCTCGATAACATGCAGGATACTGAACTGTTATGAAAGACACGAGTGAATCGAGTAAAATAATCATGTAGTAATAATTCAAAACGTGTTTGAAATTACCAGAAATATAATAAAATTATTCATGTTTAATTTCTCTAGCTTTAACTTTTCAGGTAATTGATTCATGATACGGTATTAAATTTTCAATGTCTAAATGATCCAGAATTTGATTCTTGCCAAATTACCAAGCTCATTCTTCTAATTAAAATCAAGTTAAAGACTGGAATCATTAATTGTATGAATTAATTTGATTTATAAATAGTTTTCTATCTATAAAATTTTAAATTAAGAATTAATCTGATTTTCAAATCGTTTAAATTTATATATTCAGATTATTTAGAAATTCATTAAAAATAATTATTTCAGTGGATTTGATTTGGTATTAATTTTAATTAAGGATTAGAAAATAAAATTATTAAACCCAAATAAACTCTATTCATTTAAAGTTATTCAAAATATAAAAATTACTTTAGAAATCAATTTAAATCTTACATATCACAGTTAATTCTAAATAGGAAAAACTTTACTTTCACCATTGTGGTTTATATGTGTATCATTTAGCACCATGTGGTTTAAAAATTATCATTTATATACATTGTGGTTGCAATATATGTCATTTAACCCTCCAAATGATTAAAATACCCTCATAATATAAAATATCAAAAATACTCTTAACAAACAAAATATTAAATTAAAAATAAAATATCAAAATTACCCCAGATTAAAATTAAAATCCTAATACCCTTTCTCTATTCTAATTTTGGATAAGGACAGTAAGGGGTAGAATAAATAGACGAGCATGCTTAACATTTAAATGGGGGATTGGCCTGATTTTTCTTCGGCACAGTGGGGTTGCTTAACATTTAAATATTCTTATTAGTATTATTATTTAGTAATAAATGCATTGACACTCTGCCAAAAGTAAGACACAAGACAGAAAACAAAAAACTGAAAAGGTACACAACAATTAATTAGAGTACTTGTTGTATATTTAACTAAATCCACATCTAACTGGAGGACATGGATAATTAGGGCGCACCTGAACATTCACGAAATCAATGGACTTAATTATGTAATATTATTTAAGTTGTATCTTTTGGAGCTGTATCTGATACGTCCATAAACTTTACAACAGAAAAACCAAAATAAAATATAGCTGGATGATAATATATAGATTATGTCTACCTAAAACTTTCTGATGCAGTAATTGCTTAGAGTAATATCTAACACCAGGTCATGTTTGTTCCTTTATGATGCAGTGAAAGTCCCTTCTGACTGTTACCTTTGTTATAGATATAGCAGATATGATGACCTTCACAAACATTGTTTTTTCTCGTTTAAGCTTGAGCAAATTGGAGAGATTTTTGGCCCAAAATACTCAACCCGGATTCACGTTCTCTCCCTTCAACCAATCAGACAATGCTTCGTTGCAAGTGTCTTTCAATAAAACCAATCTGTCCAAGTGTCTTTCAATATAGCCATTTGTTCAGGTGGAATAGAAAGATCAAAACATTAATTTGGAAGAACAACGAGTAACAAAGTTTCTAAAGTTTAATAAAATATAAATAAAACATATTATGATTTTATTTTAATTAAGTATATTTTTAACAATTCATCTTTAATTTAGTGTTTTGTTTGCTACGGGTATTTTTTATATTTTATATATGAGAGTATTTTAGTCATTCAGGAAATTAAATAACAGATGATGAAATCACAATGGATATAAGTGATAATTTTTAAATCATATAGTGCTAAACAATACACACAAATCATAATGGGTGAAAGTGAAATTTTCTCTTCTAAGATTTTTTATAATTTCAAATAAAACTTTAATTCTAAACAAATGAGAGAGAGTCAAAACTCAAAGTCATCTATATCTTCATTTAGAGATCATAGCTTATTTCATTTCTTGATCACATTTTTTTTTTTTACTTTTTCATCCCAAAATTTAACTATTTTATTTTAGGATTATCAAACTCTTATAGAGGCGACTCTTTCAATATAATTTTCATAATTTTTAGGGCTCAAATTAGATATCTCTAGTCAAAATAAACAAGTTCCTTATGTTTTGAACCAATAATTACTTATATAAATAGTTTATTTCATTCATATTTGTAATCCGAATATATCATTTCATATTTTATTTTAACATAATTATTTCACTTTAGAAGATTCCAATCCTCCACTACTTTTTAAGTAACAAATTAATCAATTGCCAGCAATGACTATTTCTTCTTCTATGTTTTACAAACACAATAGTTATAAATTATAAATTTATATATTCAAAAAATAGAAAATAACAAAATTATTATTTTAATTACTGATAATTTATTTATGATGCAAGAAGTAAGCTATATCTAAACGAATATTTATGCGATTCTGAATCTCTCATATGTTTAAGAATTGAAGTTGGATTTGGAATTATCAAAATTAAAATTAATTTGATTTGATATAAGTAGAATGAATGAATAAATAATATAAGGATAAAATTTTGAAATCGAAGAATTAAATTAATATCAAATCGAACCCACTTAAATAATTAATTTTAAAGAATTCGTACATACACAATATAAATTTAAAAGGTTTCAAAATCAGATTAATTCTTATTTTTAAACCTTATAAATAGAAAATGATTTACAAATCAAAATAATTCAAAAGACCAGTGATTCGAAACACGCTCTGAATTATTACGACGACATGTGCAATAATTTACTAGATTAACACGTGATTGGTTGTTTTTCTTTCGTAACAGTTGGGTATCGTATTAACAAGGAAAAAGAAAATCGAGATCCATGTACATTTGCGGAAAAACAATCACAAGGTCTCAAAATCTCAAAAAACAAAGAAACGTCAATTACTGTTTATGGATTCGAAGGCTCTGTTAACGCTACATGAAAAATAGCAACTCCCAGCGATATTTTGCCTGTTCTCCATATTAGCTAATTAGCATTAAATGTGATTGATCTTTCAAATTAAGACTAGCTAATTAGCATTAACTTTTTCATTGATCTTATCTTTCAGATGTTGCAATTAGGACTAAAAAAAGAATATCCTCTTTCTTATTTCTATAAATTAAAAATTGGCTTTCCCAATTCCCACATTGGTGTTGTGTGTACTAAATTTCCATGGCCAATTCCGATCTCTCGATGCTTTTGCCAAGGGTTCTCATTGTTTCTCGCCGTGCCATCCGCAAGAACAAATTTGTAGATTTTGTTGGTAACGTTCTCTCTCTCTCTCTCTCTGACTCACTCAATCTCTCACCGACACAAATGGAGTGCTGCCATTGTTGCAATAAGCTGTTACACTCTTATTATTTTTACTAGATTTTGTTTCCATGCATTACTCTCTAAAAGGTGATTACTTTCATATGATACATATTTCAGTAATACGATACACACACAGACACTCTTTCCCTCTCATAGAAAAACATGCATCTGTTCCTCATTGGCTCGCTCTGACCGACCAAGTTGAGAAGGGGGTTTGTTTTATATCTTTTAGATTTCAGTTTATATGAAGATCAATCGCCAAAACATCAAATAATAATAAAATATGTTAACATTTACATGTGCAATGTACACCTGTTCAAATATTTAAAAGACTTCTAGCAAATCAATATTTATAAAACACCCAACATGTTTTGGAATGTGTGAACATAGTTATCATTTTTTATGGGTTACACATAATGACTTTGTAAATGCTATTCCACATGTCATTAACAAGTTACCAATTTTAAATGAAAACAACTTCATATGATATTATTCATGAATTGTCAGCATTCGACAATAGTACTAGTCTCAGCTTTAGTAACACTTAAGTGCTCAAGGAATGGAATGAATTAAAATAATTGATGCATCAGCTCCACGTTTTTTTACCTTGAATTATTTCATTTTTTTACCTACATTAAGCAAGGATATATTTAGTTGATGATAACTTTCAAAGGCATTCAAAGGTCCTTCATTTGATTCCCTTTCAACTTTGCAATATATGAAATTTATCATTACTGAGACCTAAGTAGGAATACAATCAAATGAACAGGTGAGTATCATCTGGATCTCATTGTAAGATATGGAGCTGTTCCAGTCATTGTCCCAAGAGTTAGTGGAGTTCACACTCTCTTACAAAGCTTTGAACCTATCCATGGAGTTCTTCTTTGTGAAGGTGAGGACATTGATCCCTCCCATTATAATGCAGAACTGTCTGGACTTTCACCTGAAGAGCTTGAGCATATCAGGAACCTTCACCCAAGTGATACTGCCATTGATGAAGAGAAAGACTCTATTGAGCTAAGGCTTGCAAAGCTCTGTCTTGAAAGAAATATACCTTATTTGGGTATATGCAGGGGGTCTCAAATCCTTAATGTTTCATGTGGGGGCACACTTTACCAAGATGTAGAGAATGAACTTTTGGGGAAATACCCCGAGTTGTTCCAAAGAGTAGCTCATATAAACTATGAGAATTATGATGGACATCGTCATTTGATAAAAGTAATGACGAACACTCCCTTACATGATTGGTTTAAGGACTCTTTGGAAGATGAGAAAATGGAGATCATGGTGAATAGTTACCACCATCAGGGTGTTAAGGGACTGGCACAGCGATTTGTTCCAATGGCATTTGCTCCAGACGGTCTGGTTGAAGGATTTTATGATCCAAATAATTATAATCCTGAAGATGGAAAATTTATTATGGGCCTTCAATTTCATCCAGAGAGAATGAGACACCCAGGTAGTGATGAATTTGATTACCCTGGATGCAGTATGGCTTATCAGGTACTATTGCTTTCCTGAAGTGCATTTTTTGTTCCTACTCATTTGCTGTCTATGTAAATTGCTATAAGAAAGAAAAACAATTTAGGGTTTCCGTTCCTGGTTGTGACATAGGAATTTGTGAAGGCTGTAATCGCCTATGAGAAAAAACTTAGCTGCTCAACATTGGTGCCAAGGGCCACAAAGCTTAGTGAGGAACTGGAGTTAAAGAGAAAAATCATCCTGAAAAGCTTCTCAGTCGCTGGAAACATTTACAAGTCTGAGTCTCAAATGGTTGCAAACCAAAGTTCTGAACTTGAAGCAGGAGCAGATTTTCTACAGGTTACCCCTTAATTTAATAGTACAATTCACATTTTACCCGTAAATGATTTACTTGAATTGATGTGCGTGTGATGTGGTTTCAAAAGTTTTAATTAACACCATCATTTATCTATAGTCCTACATAACCGAGGGAGTTACAAAAGAAAAAGGCATGATTATTTACAAAAGTTATAAATGTTTACAAAAACAGACTTCATCTAACAGCTACTGTATATTTTCTCAACTAATTCTTCGATCCAAATTTGTGCTGCGGCCACAGCGGGTTCAATCTGAGATGGTTAAATGCTTTCTTGCAGGCAAATATAGCACTGAGTTTGCAGCAGGAGAATAGGTTAAAGCAGGTTGGTGCAACAATTAGAAATGGTTCAGTTTTTACACACAAGCTGAAAATGTATCAGGTGAGGGAAAAGGTTGCAACGACTATGATGGCAAATATGTCCGTAGAACAGTTATCTGAAATGATGTCCTTCTACGGATTAATGCGTCAGATATGTTCGGAGACATTGGAGAGAAAGATGCATGACCTATTGCAGGAAGAAAGTTGATTTTCTTAACAGTAAAATGGAAGGATCATAAGTGTGCAGAAATCTTTATAAATTTTTTTCACTTTGCTGCCTTTGTTTTTTCTCCATTTTCTCTAGTGGCTTCTTTCAAATTACAATGAATGAATATTATCATTCGTTTTGCTCCTTTTGGTTAAATGCTGGTGCTTTTTTTCTTTCTTTCCTTGCCTCTCCTTGATGAAGGGCCATTCATTTCTGTCGTCGTAGTAGAAATATACGTCAAGTATTTGTTTCGGGATTTACACGTTTTGAGAATTATTCATTAGTACCCGCATTAGCGCCCACAAAATTTGCACTATTTGCAAGTGGATTGTGCTTAAAGGATAAGACTTCAATTTTTTTGACCTCTGCTTATGAATGATTTCCATTAGGTATAAACTTCAATCTCAGTAATGGTAGTAGTGATCATTGCTCCCGAAGAAACTTACACGTCTAACTCAGTAATGAAGGAGCATATTTTTAATATTACCTAAGTAGATAAAAAAAAAAGTGGAAGGAATAAATGTAATAGTTAAATTATTATTTTTTAATCTTAACAAGTGATAATACTGAATCTACATTACTGCGAAGAGATTTTTATAGTGAAGGGATTTGATAATTTAAATTTAAACTGCGAAGAAAAACAAAGCATGACAAAAGTAACAAAACAAAGTTGTCTCTTCTGCGGTAGTAAAATTGGTGTACTAGCTTTTTATCGATCTAGCAAACCGAGGCTTCCCACAGCGTCAGGTCACTCGGGAAGCAAAGTGAGGTTTTCCAATCTCAAACGAGCAAACTTACGTTTCCTAGAAAATAGGTCGCCCGATAGAATTCAATCCAAATAACTTGATAAATACAGAACCACAAAACCTACACGGAAACCTCCCCACCTTGAATTTGATCTAGTTCAAATAACGTTTAGTTAAAGGGAAAAGTGTTTGTCATTTTAAATGAAAGAAAGTTATGTCATTTTAAGAGAGATACAGACACAAAAAATTTGAATTTTAAATTAAAAAAAACCACTCACTTTCTCTCTCTCATGATTTTCGTTTTTCTGTGTCTATCTCTCCCTTAAAATGAGATAACTTATGTCATTTAAAATGACAAACATCAAACCCTTAATTAAAAGAAAAAGAAAAAAAAACATTCTACAAACTCGAATTATTTAGTTAAAACGTGGTTAGTATGAGTATCCCCGGCACTAGCAGAGCTGCAGTTAAAATTACGGTAGAACCAAAAGTGGGCGTCAACTTTTCTAACAACAAATTATTATTAAAAAACCAAAGATTTCACCCTACAAACAATTTCATTGCTATGAAACTCAACAAAAAGTTGTACAAGTAATGCAGCTAAGAAACGTAACAGTCAGACTTAAAATACAGAGTTGGGGCAATTCAAACTTGAGTTCAGCTAACACCAAATCCAGTAAAATTCCCCAATAAATTAAAGCTAAGTCGTATATAGTTATTATCAGGACAGAAAAAACGCAGCCTGTCTCTTTAACAAAACCATACCAACATAAAATATAGTTGGAAAACGACAGGAAACAACCGTTGTAGGACTCATTGATGTTAGCAAACAAAACAACCTCATAACAGATATCAGCCAGCACTTATGAAGCAGCTCTTTAATCTGTACAGATCCACCGTGAACCCATTCTGAAGTTTCCTTAACAGTGCCACTTATCCAGAACTTCGCTGCTTCTATTACCATTACTTTTTTTACTCTTTCACTTATTACAGCAGGAAACAAAGCAGGGAACTATAATGAACAGATCTTAACACCTTGTTTTCTTTTTTCTTTTTCCTTCAATCAAATAGGTGATTAACTCTGACTTCATCCAGAATAACATCCAAGAAATGGGTCAAAGCAGCTATTGGCAAAAAAACTAGGTCCACTTCTTAAATGGCTGAAGTAAAACAGTTACAGTCACCTTAGCATCATCAACGGTTGAAAAACAGGAAATCAGGGTGACTGACCTGATGCAGTCTTAACCACTTGTCAGCAGCTTGCAAAAGAGAGTTAGCTAATTGGCGCTCATATCCACCATTAGGAGTCCACAGAGATCCTTTGAACTTGTATGAAGCAAGACCAAAAGCTGGTAAACACATTTTAGGGACACCGTCCATCTCAGTAGGATATGATGATACGGGAGCCTGCACTCTTTGTGAACCTGAAGAAAATAATGTATGTTTCATTAAAGCAACCGATGCAAAATAGAAAATGGACTACCGGTAATAACAAACAAATCCAGCATCTCACAATAATTGAGCCCTGGATATAATTATTATGACCTATAACTGGCAATGTAGACTCAAATAGAAAAAAAAACCCAAGATAAAAAAACATCAGTTTTTGTAGTAGACGAGGACAAATATAGAACCCCAACTAATCCAAATGATGTTTTCATAATTTTAAAGGAGAAGAGGCAGAAAGATCACTTTTAAAAAGAAAAAGAAAAATATATCTGATTTAAAATATAATAAAGCAGCATTTACGCCAAGAAATTTGCTAATCACCATTGAAATCAATAATCATGCATTGTGGTGCTCATTGATGGATCTCAAGAAATAAGAACAAAACAGTGGAAGAAAGATCAAAATTACCGGTGCCAAGACATTAGCCATATACAGATGATTGTGAACTAGGGAAGGTTGTGGAACCAAAATATAGAAAAGGGCATCAAGTATACATACTATCAATAGCACAAGAAGAGGTTCTAAAATTACATTTATAGTACATAAAATAACATATCACAAACTAGTTAATGGATTAATGCTAACAGCCTAACACAACAATGTTTCTCAAACTTTGTTATAAAGCAAAACACACTACAGCAGAAATGAAGCAAAAAGCCATCCTACCTCCCACTGGTGTATGAAGAGAATGGTAAGTCAGAAAGCAAGCATCAAGATCTTTTAATGTTGGACCAGTTGGTATCCTGTAAATTGGATACCTACAAGCAAAACATAAAACGGCTCAGTCCCTTGTGCATCTTGTAAGCTGAATGTTAAAGCACAGAAGTAAAGAAGAATACCATGCTACAGATATCCAACTTGATGATAGTATATCACAACTTCTAAGTGTCACCAGTTCAGGGAAACGAAAAGCAAGGTCCGTTATCTATCCAACCACACAAAAGAAAATATAATCAAAAGGCTAATCATGGATGTAATGCAGATAACAAATGATCAAAACTCTGTTCCAGTAAAATTGAGGAGGAAGCCAAGAATGTGGCAAGGTAGAGTGAGTTAGCACACCTTATCAGCCAAAGGTTCACGGCTGTAAGGAGGATCCCGTTCAAGATACTCAAAAAGCAAGTAGCCCTGAGAATTGAGGGATTCACCATCATCACTAGAAAAACCATCTTGTGGGCGAGTATGGTGGTCTCTCAAAGATAATCTACCCATCCAATGAGGTACCTCCTCTGACAGGTGGTGAAGATTCCTTTGCTCCCTCACATATTTCAATTCTCTTTCAGGTTCACAATCACTGCTACCATCACTACTTGAGTCCCTAAAATCACTGTCGCTGTCCACGCCTAATTGCCTATATATGAATGAAACAATAATATTATTATATGCATATCTGAGAAGAAGGCAGTATTGATAAATGCACCATATAAATATTGAGAACAAAGAAAACCAAACAGTAGATTAACACTTAGCTTAAAGCATTCAACTAAGTAGAATGCTATATTATGCAAACAATAAAGATCAACATCTAGAGGAAATCAAAAGGGCACAAACTAGCAACGAATATTAAATTATACTGCAACATATTTAAATCCGTAAACTCCTTACAATAAAATTTGCAAATTGCAATGTATGTACCCAAAACAGTCCTATTATTTGGCTCCTATTCACATTCTCACCCTTTCAAATACTCACTAAAATTAATTTTCCGAATAGGGTCCAAAGAAACAAAAACATACCTTGACTTTACAGATGGCTTCACAGTCTGGGCATAAATTTGAATTCCAGAAAGATAGGGAACGTAATATTGAACAACACTATCATTGTCATTTAGTACAAGCGGCACTCCAGCACCATATGCACTCCATTCCCTGAAAGATTCCCACAAATCACCAAGAACAAAGTAGGGCTGAAACTCCCCATCGCACGTCCTTAAGCCTCGCGTGGTCCTCTGCAACATCCAATTTACAATCAATATACAAGGAAAAACAAAAATATTTCACATTAACAACCGCACAGTTCCCAAGCAACGAAAAATCATCATATTATTTATTTATTTATTTATTTATTTATTTTGGATGACAAATTTGCTTCTTTTTATTATTTTTCCTTTTAAACTAAAATATACTCTCCATTTCTCGATCCCTTTCAAAATTAAATACTGTCTTAAATGCTACACTTACCCTTCAAATTCAATTCATCGGTTACAAAGAAAGACACAAACTTTAAAACGAATTTCAATTAATCCAACAACTAATAAATGAAACACGGTTTCATCAGTAACCCAGTTTTAAGCTGTAACAAAACTTGGTCTAGTGATTAGAAAACCAACCTTAGAGAGATACTGAGGAGGCACAGAGGGCATGATCGCCTGCAAGAACTGCTCCAGATTACTCAATCGCTTCACCGCCGGCTCACACGACGGTACTGCAGCAGTCTTCTTGGCCTCGTCTGACCCGACCCGGTTCTCGGGTTCCCTATTTACCGAATCCAACGATTTCTCTCTAACAGACGGCGATGACCGACTCGCCGTGACGTCGCTGTGAGCTCTACGCAGCCTATCATTAACTACGCTGTGAAAGGACCGGCGAGCATTCGGCGGATTATAAAACCGATCCTCTCCACGAGCACGCCCAAAGTTCAAGCCAGTACCCAACATTCCTATACACAATCAGAGACAAGAAAAGAGAGGGGGAAACGCGACCCAGAAAACAAAAACAGAACTTTTTGACGGGTATTGGATAAACCTCGAGTGTGGTCAACGGTATTTTGGATAAACTATGCTGAGATTGGTAGCAATTCGATGGGAACTATGAGGAATAAGAGGATCTGAGGCAATTCTAGGGTTTCGGGGGAAATGGGGGGGTTTTTGTTTTGAGGAAAGGGTTTGAGTTGAGGGTTGATGTTCTGTGAATCGGAAAGAGAGAAAAAAGCGATGGGTCTTTGAGTTAAATAAAAAGGGAAACGTGGAGAGAGTCAGAAAATGGATCTGGCTGTTGGAGAGTGCAGGCACAAGGTGGGGACGAAGGTCAAAAAGGTAATATTAACAGAGGGGTAAGTTGATTGAATGAATGAATGCGAAGGGAATGAAGGAAGAAACGTAAAAAATGTAAATGAACAAAGTAGACTTCTGAACCTCTTTATTTTCCGTTTTTATTACTATCAATGGCCAACCACAAACTACACCTTCGAAATTTTCTTTTATCTATTATTATTAAATATTCTTTTAAAAAAATAGATATACACCTAGGGATGTAACCGGGCCCAAGTTTGACTTGCTTTGGTTTAGGTTTGCTCTGATTAACTTAATAAATAAAATCAGCTTAAGTTTTTAAAAAAAATTGTTTAACTAATAAGTCCAAACTTCATTTAATGAGACTTGGTTTGAAAGTCCGTGAGCTGATCCAATATATTATTATAATAAATAATATATTTTATGTCATTAAATCATTAACCTTATTTTTGTATCTCTATTTTTTTACTATTGTCTTTAATTTCACAATCAACTAACCAAACTCAGGTACTCTTTCTTTATTCTTCTTTGAAGATTATAATATAATAAACTTTGGAATTTAGATAGCTTATTCTATTAAAAGTAAGGTCGTCGCAAGTTTTTTTGTGTGTTCTTTTCTGCCTTGCAAGGAGCGCCGATCGCATATTCTCCTGATTTATTAAGTCATCGTGAGCTGAATTAATGTTTAAGAAGAAATTGTGGAACTCATTATTCGATTTTAAAATATATGTAGACTGAGTGGGTTCTATGATTATTTTTCTCTAACGAAATAATATAGAATTTGATGTATTTATAGTCTCAACATTTAGACGTATGTGAGTTTGAAAAAAATATATTTTATAATTATAAATGAGCCAAGACAGGCTCAAGCCAAACCTTTATTTTTTATAAACAAGGCAAGCCTAGAATTTAGCTCCTACCAAACTAATGAGCCAAGCCCAGTGGTGGAGTCACGTTGGTGCCAATAAGTACCTTGGCACTAGCTAATTTAGCCACGTTTATTTAGCTACGTTTGAAACGTAGCAAATCATGTTTCAAGTTTTTTGAAAATTAACCACGTTTTGGTCGTAGCTATATAACCGTGGCACCAGTGAATTTTTTGGCATTAGCATAAATGCCTTGTTGGCTCCGCCACTGGCCAAGCCAAGCTCAAAATATTTTTTCTTAAAGTTGGCTTGGCTCAACTCATTCACACCTTATAAAAAAGAGTAAATACCTTTTTCGGTCCTCAGCAAATTATTTTACGATATCCGCTTTAGTCCCTAGCAAATAAAAAGGCTATTCGTGGTCCCTAAGAAATTCAAAATGGACCTATTTAATTAAAATCGTGGTCCCTCACAAATTCAAAAAAGACTCATATTAGTCCCTCAAAATGACTAAAATAGGTCTATTTTGAATTTCTTAGGTATCACGAATAGCCTTTTTATTTGCTAGGGACTAAAGCGGGCATCGTAAAATTTGTTAAGAACCGAAAAAGGTATTTACTCTATGAAATATTTGAATTTGTTATATTTTTAATTCCTTGTCCAGACATAGAGATTTTAGGACATGCATGGAGACGACATGATAAACTCTCATTCTGTCTTTTTATGCATATTAGATAAGTTTATCCTTAAGGTGAATTATATGATATTGTTATAAAAATAAGTTTTTCAATAAAATTTCATGTTAATTTTTAAAATTATTTTTTATTTATTTATACATTAATTATTATTTTAAATTATTAAAAAAATTACTTTTAAATAAAACATATTATAATATATAAATAACTTATAATTTTTTCAAAATAAAGAAAATTATATCTTCAGTAAATAAACTTTAAAAAATAATTTTTAAATTCATTGTTAATGATGTGAACGTTATACCAGCAAGATGAAGGCTCAGTCTAAGACCATGACTTAACTTTGAGGTATATGCATGCATCCTGCGTAGAAATCATGGGCATCTTGCCACCTTAACTGGCAAACCACTTCACAAAACTGCACAGGCAAATAGGATTGGCAAGATTGACTATTTAGAGCCACTTGATCACCACATGAATTCAATGACTGAGTGACAATACTAGCTCGCCGCAACCTCTACTTTGGCGAGCCTGACTATAGGCATCTCATTCAAGGAATAGTCTGTGAAATGTCACCACACTCCATCAATAGGAGTTGACACAGTCATACAAAAGGTAACATAAACAAGGCATCCTCCTATTATAAATATATATGCATTTAGCCCAGGTAAAATCATCTATCCTTAAATACTTGAACTACTTGAAATATTGATCTGACTTGAACATCACAGTGTCTTGCAGTACTTCCCTCAATCTCCTCAAATTGCCCAAATACTAGCTTAACCATCTTGCCAAAGTCCCTAGGCTATCTCGCCAACGGCTTGTCATCTCGGCAACACACTTTGCATCAACACATTTCTCTTTATCAACATCATTACCTCAACTGTGTGTGATCTAACTCAGTCCAATAGTTGGTGGACTAGTCAATTAACATTGGTGACCGATGGCGAATGATAATAACTAGTGGTGGCGACAGCAGTTGTGGGAGCTTATGGTGGTGACGATGGAGGCAATAACAGATGAAAATTGTGATGGTGACAAATGTGAAATGTTTGAAGGTGGTAGTCGCCCAAAATAATAGCGGTGACAATAATAATAATTAGTTGGTGTAGTGGGGTAGTAGTGGCGGTGGATTGGGTGACTATGCCAACGGTTTTGATCCTTGGGCTATGTCGATAAAGTACAATTATGAAATTAATTTTTTAATTATTAATTAAGAAATCCTGTAAACAAGCATTTTTTAGTTTAAACTTTGTTTTCTATCTAAAATATGATACATCAAACCATGTGTTAAGAAATTTAGTTTTTACTACCAATAAAAAGAAAATTTAGTTTTAGTAAATGGAAAATATTTAACACAATTTTAATCATGTTTTTTTTTCTGCTATAGATAATTTGTAATCGCATGTAAATCTTTTGTTGAAATTAATCATGGGGTTTATGTCCGTAAAGTTACAGAACCAGACTCCCAAATTTCTGCAGACACAATATTCGTGGGATCCGCAATGGTTTTTTTTTTAAAAAAAGAATAAAAAAGCTAGCGTTGTTTTCTATGTATCTGTAGAAAAAGAAAGTTTATGTTTCTGTGAGATAACTTTTCAATTTCCCTATTAATCATCTGTTTTATTAATCATAAACTGAAAGAGACCTCTTTCATTATTATTTTTATTTAAATATATTGATTTGACATAATTATCGATTCCTAAATAAAAGAATGTTAAGAGATATTTATTATATTATTTTATTTAATAACTATAATCTAGATTTAATAACTGTAGTCTAGATGTTGAGAGTTATTTAATAATAGAAATGGAATGAAAACAAAAACAAAAACTGAAGTGTAAATAAAACCTAAATAAAGAATGTTCATACACTAAGTTACTGAGCACACATAATTATAAAATAAAAATAAAAAAACAAAAAAGTTCATATATATGCAAGAAAACAGACTACTCTCCTATGGCTTGGAGAGTAGTTTTTCCCAACTTTTATATACCAATATAAGAACTTATGACGTATTAACAAAACAATTTAGAAATAATAAAAAATTGTATTATCTTAAATTTGGTGTGACGCTGAGAGACGATTAAAAGTTACTTAAATTGTAATCCTTGGACTCGCACCCGAACTCTGGATTAGTTTCATAGGCGACTCAAAAAGTCAAACCCATGAGGATACCGAGATATTCTGATTCGTCTCAAAGAGATAATTAAGATCAGTTACCAAAAAAAAATTGCTTACATTGTATTTACTCAAAAAATTGTCTTAAATGAAATTCAATCTTAAGACTAAGCATATATTTGAAAAATAATTAAAAGAAAATATAATTACTTTTAAAATTATCTAAAAGATTATATTTTAATAAAATACTCATTAATTATTTCCTCTATAGATTGGATGAAAGTTAACTATTGCTGGAGGGTGACAAGTTTTTATTTTTCCTCAGTTATGTGGATGTTAAAATAGTGAAATATATGCATCACGACTTTTTCGTTTTTTATTCCTTTTTTAAAGAGAAACCTTTTTTGAATTTTGTATTTGGGAACAAAAAAAATTATTATTTTTTTCAATTTTTATTTATGATTCTCAATTAAATCTATGACATAAAGGGTGTGCATCACAACCTTCCCGGAATCATTTTTTTTTTTTTTAATTTTTGTTTCCGGGAACAAAAATTGATAAGAAACTCGTTTGGTAAAACCGCTTTATTTTTTTTGTTCCCGGGATGAACCGGTTTAATTTTTGTGCTGGGGAACAAAAAAAAGAATAAAAAAATTTCTGCTTTTTTGTTCTCGGGCACAAAATGAGAAATATTTATCCCTCTCAATCACTCTACACCATCGTTCCACTAGTGTCGTCGTCACCACCCCTCACTACCACCACCTCCACCTATCACCATCACCACAACTACCGCTGCCGCCACCACCACCACTATCACTGTCACCACCACCATCACCACTACCGCCATAAACCACCACCACTATCATCGCAACCACTGTCGTCACCGCCACCATCGCCATCACACGCCACTGCCACCCCCCCATCGCCATCACTACCACCACCACCACGACGCCACCATTACCATCACCACCACGTCACCAACCACCACTACTATTGCCGCAGCCACTGCCGTCACCACCACCATCGTCGCTACCGCCGCCACCAACCACCACCACCATCGTCACTGCCATTACCGTCACCACCGCCGCCGCCGCCCCCATTACACCACTCCCGCCACTACCATCACCATGTCATTGCCACCACCACCACCGTCACCTACCGCCACCGCCACCGCCGCAGTCACTGCCACCACCACCACCACCATGATGCCTTCATAACCACCACCACCATGCCACTGCTACCATTGTTGCCGCCACCAACCACCATACCCACCACCATTGTCGCAACCATTGTCATCACCTCCACCACCACCATCCCCACCACTACCACCGCCACTGCCACCATTACCACCGCCATCATCGCATCCACTGCCGTCTCAACCACCAGCAATATTTTCACCACGTTACTGCCACCACCACTACCGTACTGCCGCCACCACCACAACCACACCATGTGGAAAGGAAAGTGATGATCCATAATTTATTTATATTTAATAGGAATTATTTTTTATTATATTATTTATT